GGCCGGGGGGCGGGGGCCCCGGGGGGGCTGGGGGGGGGGACACGACCCACGAGCAGCTCCGCACCCACGGACACGACACACACCCCACGTACAGACAGACAGCGACACAGACGGTGCTGGCGGGGGGCCCCGCGCGCCGCTGGGTAAAGCCAAGGCTTCCAGGTCAGGGAGGGGTGGGGGGCTGATTTTTTGGCTACCGTGCTTTAAAAGCAGCGGTTTTCCTGGCCAGCGAAGCACGGCAGCCACGGGGACCCCCCCACGCCAGCCCTGCCACGCGCAGCGGGACGGGGGAGAAGGCAGCTCTCCTTCCCCGTCCCCCCCCGCAACCCGCTCCCCAGCCCAAAGCCCATCTCTAGCCAGCATCCACGCAGGGAACACGCTGTCTGGGTTTCAGCTCTACAGTAGTTTTTAAAAAATATTTATACGTTATATACCCTAAAAAGGTCACCACAGGAATTTCCATGTCTTTGGAAGGAAGGAAAAAAAAATAAAAATCAAAACTGTTTCACAAAAGAAAAAAAAAAAAAATCCAATTATCGGCGGCATTCACCTACAGGACAAAACCCCCGGCCGCAGCGTGTGGATCTGACGGGGGGATTTTACCGCCTGCTCCGGAAAGGCCAGAAACACAGGTGAGTAGCTAAAAATAACTAGTCTGGTATAAATGTCTGATTTCCATGCGCTTGATATAACAGTCTGTCTCTTTTTGTCTTTTTTCTTAAAAAATATATATATATAGTTATTGCTTTCTCAAGGGCCGGTGGGCGCGGGGCACCCTCAGTGGGGGAGCGTGGCAGGCTCGGTGGGGTTTGCTTTCTTCCGCCTCTTCATCAGCAAAGGGTTTGAGGAATCTTCGATTTTCTTGATCTTGATTTGTTCGTAGTCCACTCGCATGGTGGCCAGCGCGCTCGTCATCTCCTCCTGCGGGCAGGAGGCACAGGCAACGCCGTCAGCAAAGCCTCTGCACCGGCACAGCCCCCAGCCCCCCGAGACCCCCAGGGCAGCTGTCCCCCTCCAAGCCCCCATGGGAACAAATTGCAGCAGGGGCCGTGTCCCACCGCCAATTTTTCCAGCCTCCTCCCGAGCACAGATCTCCCCAGGAGCCAGCACCCTCGCGGCGAGCCCGAATTAGCCCGGTTTACAATGAGAAGGCAGAAGCATCCCCAGATGGCACCTGGGGTGCAGAACATTTCAGACAGCAATGGAGGGAGGGTTTTACCTTCACATCCTCCCACAGATCCTTCTCCTCTTTCAGCACACGACTGGTGTGCAGCGGGGTCTGGGGCACCTGCATGGATTGCTGCCGAGAGAGCGGAGGAGTGTGAGCTGGGAGCTGCAGGCATCCCATCCTCATCCCCATCCCATCCTCATCCTCATCCCCATCCTCATCCCCATCCCCATCCCCATCCCCATCCCCATCCTCATCCCCATCCCGCTGCCCGATCAACCCCGCACTCACCATGATCCAAGGGTGGTTCATGAACTCCGTTATCGTCATGCGCTGGGTCGGGTCTGTCTTCAGCAGGTTGCGGATCAGCTGCTTAACTGGAAGGATTTGCGGAGGGCTGGGCATTAGCAGGTCCCAGGGGGGTTCTCCCCGCACTCCAACCTGAGCCAGCAGCCCCAAAACAGCCTGCACACACCTCCCGTCCCCTGCGTGCCGCAGACCTCACCCTGGTCAAACCCTTCAGAGCAAAAGCCTCTTGAGCAAAGAGGCAAAGCTGCTGCCTCACCGAGAGACGAGCCATGACATGCCCAGGCTTCCCCCAGCCTTCGCAGCGCTGCTGGACGCAGGGCTGACCCCAACGGGAGACCTCAGCCCAGGGACAAGCTGTCATGGGGACCGCGTTTACCTTCCTCCGACACTTCGGACCATTCGGGATTGGGAAACTCGTACTGGCCCATTCGGATTCGCTTCTTCATGCCGGGCGAGATGGCCAGGCCGTGGTTGGAGTAGAAGGGGGGGTACCCGCAGAGCCTGCACCGGGAGAGGGAGCGGACAGTCAACGTGTCGCCCCGGCAGCACCCACGGGGCACAGGGCAGTGCCAGGAGCAGGAGCAGTGCAGCTGGGGAAGACTCAGCCCCGCTAGCCCACAGACGAGCTCGAGAGCTGCATCCCCCCCTTCCGAGCCCGGCGGGATGGAGCGGGACCCGTCAGACTCACAGAATGTACATGATGACGCCGAGGGACCACATGTCACAGGACTTGTCGTACTTCTCCGGACCCAGCACCTCCGGGGCTGGTAAAGAAAGAAACAAAATCCTGAGTCAAAGCGGCAGCACCAGGCGAGAGGGATCTGACCATCCCATGGAGCGGTCAAAGAGCTGCCCGCAGCTCCGTACCGTCTCGGCAGCCCTGCTCAGAGCAGCGCGAGCACTGCTGCTGCGTGGGCTTCGGCATGGCGGTGCAGGCAGCAGAGGCAGGATTGGTGCAGGGAGGTGCTGCCCCGCAGCCCCGGGGCACAACACCAGGGATGCTGCAGCACGGGTAGGAAACATATTGGCTTGTGCACACCGACACCGTGCTCAGAGCAGCCCATCCTGCCCCGCACCAACAAGCGGTGAACCACAGCACCCACCCGCACCCAAAGCGGCCCCCAGTCCCAAGCATCCCGGACGGGAGTTGTTCAGACCCCCCCACACACAGCCACTTACCCACGTAGTACGGCGTGTAGCACGGAGTGGCCAAGGAGTTGTGCGTGGTGGTTTCTTTAGCAAAGCCAAAGTCCGTGAGTTTTAGCACAGCATTGGGCCTTTTGGAGGTGTACAAGAGGTTTTCCGGCTGTGAAAACACAGGGAGGAAGTAGTGAGCAGAAAAGCCAGAGCAGCCTCGGCAATGCCACGGGCCGAGCAGGGCTCAGCACCGCCGGGCGAGCATGCAGCACGGTACCTTCACGTCCCGGTGTGCAATGTTGATTGAGTGCAGGTACTGGATGGCTTCCCCAATGCTCTTCATTATCTCTGAAGCCTCTGAAGCAGCAAAAAAAAAAAAAATAAAAATAAAAATCAGAAGCCCTTATAAGCAAGTTACAATGAGCACTACTCCTTGGGTTACTCTTCAAACCAGGGGCCAAAGAGCCTGGCTGAGGCCAAAGGGGTTTCCTCTACCTGAAATCCCCTTTCCAAGCAGGGCCCCCCCCAGCACCCATCTCCAGGTCAGGAGCCTGCAGCAAACGGCAGAGAAGCTCCCAGGAGAAAGGATGGGGCAGGCTCCAGCCTCTGACCCCAATACCCAACCACACAAGCCCCGAGCTGGGGCTGACTCTGGGGTGGGGGGGGCTGACCCAGCCCCCAGCACTGCTAGGGACCCCAAATCTGCAGGGAAACCAGCTGGGAAGGCTTTCCCCATAGGGTGGGAAGCCAAAGGGCGATGGGCTCAGGATTTAGGTTGTGCAGACACTTTTCCTGGCCACAGGAGCAGAGGGGATGAGATTAATGAGATCTATGAGAACCACAGCCCCTGGACTTCATTTTTGGAGGGAGGTAGGTGTTTCTGAAGGTCGCTGAAGCTCCTGCCTGTGCTGGAGCGGGATGGACGGGGTGCAGGGGCAGCTGAGAACACATTCCCCAACCCTGCTCTCAAGTGAGTGTGAAAAGCAGGGCTACTTGCACCCACATTCCTCATTCCCCAAGTGCAAAGCCCTGCTGAGGATTCAAAAGAGCAACTGAGGGAATGAGCTGGACCAAAGACACTCCTATAAACATCAAGACATCATCCAAAGACGAAAGCCCAGGTACCCGCAGGCTCCGTACCCCGTTCTGTGAAGGCCTGGTCTCCCCTGTCTTGAATTCGGCTGAAGAGCTCCCCGCCGTCCAAGCTGGAAGAGAAGCACGAGGCGTTAGATGCTGCGGCATCCGTCTCACACGGGCACAAGTGGTACCGAAACCTCCGATGCTCAGCCAGGAGCTGCACGAGCTCAGCAAGAAACGAAGCCCTTCTTCACCCAAGCCCTTGGGTCAGTGCTTCTGGGTTACAGAGCCTCCTCCTTCCAGAAATGAGCAGGGCAGAGGCTTCGTGCTGACAGAGGAGATGCCGGGTGCAAGCGGACGTGGTCTCCCCACCAGCCCACAGAAACACATTTACAGTAAAGACAGCAAACGTGGCTCGAAAGTGGCGAGAGCGCTCCCAGCACGCCTGGCCTCGTTTAGTTCACAAGCCAACCACCTCGCCGGCATGCTAACCCCACGCAGAAGTGCTGAGCAAAGATCGTGGCACAGGCGAGGTGTCAGCGGCGCCGAGATGGGCTCACCGATGGGACGGGGGAGGCAGAGCCTGAATCCCCCTGCAGCAGAGCAAGCTCTCACACAAGGTGTTGGAGAAGGACCGTGGAAACCTTGGCGCGGTTCCCTCCCCAGCCAAAGGCTCCCCAGGTACCCTAAGGAAAAACTCGGCTCCCAGAGAGATCAGGGGTGGGATCAGGGATAACGGTGCTTCCTGCCCCTGCCTTATCTAACTCGAGCAGAAACGGCTTCTGGCTTTCCCAGTGCAGATAGCATCTCCAGCCAGCGCCCTTGACATTCGCTGGACATCTGCAATACAGATAGCGCGCAGCCGCCGGGGCCAACCGCCGCACGGAGCTTGCGAGGAGACACACCGTGCTCATACTGGGAGTCAAACGCTGCTTCGTGTAGGACGTTACACCCAGAGCATCCCTCAGACAGCAGGGACCCGTCGCAGGGATGCACTGCAGGGAGCTGTCATTGCCCTGGGGACTCGTTTCCTACCATTCAGCTACCGCTTTCTTCCCACGCAAGCAGACGTGCCGCACAAACCTTTCCCATCCCCGGCTGCCCAGCATCCTAGCACGGTTCTCAGAAGCCTCTTCCCACACAAGAGCCACTCGGGCGGCTGCCGTGCCGCCTGCCCCGGTGCTGTTCGTGGCAGTCCTTACACCCGCTGCCCCCCCAGGCAACCTACCGGCTTGCCAGAGGAGAGGTTTTGGCAAGGAAGCTGCATCAAATCACAGCTGCGGTTGGGATGTGGTTTCAATACTTTCCCCTTCATTCCTCCTCCTCCCCAGGTTATATCAAACATCTACCCAAATCAGAGCCGCTCAACTGCCGCTGCAGGAGGTGCAACGGCGTCGAGAGATGCATCAGCTCGGCTTGGCTGCGCGCTGCCCAGCAGACCCCACCGCAGGCTGCCGGGGTGCCAGGAACCCGCTGCCTACCCCGACTTTCAATGGCCAAAGCGAGTTTGGTTATGATCTATCTGCAGCGAGAACCACAGGCCTGAAGCCTCTCAACAGCCAAGTGAGTTTTCAGAATGACTCAGAGCCAGCACAGCTCCCACCATCCCTCCAACGCCAGCAACGCAGCGTCTCTTCCAGGGCTCGCATCCCTGCGGCTTGCAGGCTGCATCCCCCGGCACCGCATCTCCCCAGGGTCCCCAGCAGGGGTGCAGGAAGGTGCTCGCCCCCCCCTTTTGGCATCACCCCACCGCCCCGCGGGGCTGCGGGTGCTCCTGCGGGGAGAGCCCACCCGCAAGCGGTGCCGATGGGAACTCACCACTCCATGACGATGAGCAGACATTTCCTCCCCTGGTAGAGGTTCTCGTAGACGTCCATGATGCGGACGATGTGCGCGCATTGCGATGCCCTCCAGTGCAGCTCCACTTCCCTGCGGGCCTTCGGGCAGTCCTGCAACATCTGCGAGAGAAGCGAGACCCCCATCAGCCCCCAGCCTCCCCACCGAAGAGGAGCCGGGCTGTGATACCCCCCCCAGCACGGTGCCCACCCAGAGAAGACGCAAGGGCGAAGGCCAAGCGCGGGTGCTCTCCGCGGGCGAGCTCCGGCGCGCTCTGCGCAATGCCTCCATCCCCATCTAGTGGGAACAGCGCGAAGCCGCCCGCTCTCATAAACTTCTTGCCCTCCTTTTCCAAGGTTGGTAAAAGTTTATCCCGGCTGCCTGCCACCTCCCTGCCCTCTGAGATGCTTCCCTGGTGCCCAGCCAGCCTGTGCGACCAGCCAGCAAGACTTTCTACCGCATTTATGAGCAAGCTTCTGCGCGCTAGTGCCTACACCACTGCACCCCTGGGTGCCACCAAACATCCTCGCTGCCCTCTCCGCAGTCCCCTGCCAGCGCTGCCCACCCACCGCCTCCCATTCACCAGCCTTCTGCTCCGGGGGGCTGGTGGGACCCCCCTGCTCTGTGCCCTTATGCACAGGTTGGGCACAAAAGCACCCTCACCGCGGCTTCAGAAGCCGCCGGCGCCCAGCCACGCGTGCCTGGGGAGGGGACAAAGCAAACAGCCAGATGTTCCCGAAATAGCAGCTTTTCTCACAAGCGGCAGCAGCTCTTTAATGAGGCCCCTGCCCTTCCCAGAGACAACTCACAGTTCCCAGGTGCAGGAAGGATTTGCTCGTCTGCCACAGACTATTAATTACCATGTTTGTCAGGATAAACAACCAGCCTTAATTATTACACTCCTAAACATAGAGCAACAAACGCGTCTATCTTGAGCACAGTTCATTTTCCTTCCTGTCTCCGGCAGCTCTTGGGGCCGGGCTCAGCAAAACTCCCCGGAGCAGGTCTGCACCTCGGTGCAGCAGCGAGCAGGGGCACGTGGAAAGGCATCCCACCCTCGTGTGCATCAGCACGAAACAGCGGGTTTGGTCATTTTACCAAGACAGAGACAGAAATCTACTTTTTGCCCCTCTGCCCTCTCCCAGCCAAGCTCCCGGGGCTGCTGGGTGAAGGCGAGCGCCCAGCTGACGAGCGGCAGAGCATCAGCCCCCGGGATGCTTCGCTGGCCTGGCAGGACCCGAAACGGTGCCCACCGCATGGCAAGGACCCCTCTGTCCCAGGAGGGATTTCACAAGAACAAGGGTTAACGCTTGCTGCAGCCCCAAAAGACGCACACTGCCTGTTTATAAATGAAACGCTTGCTGACGGCGCTCGCGTGAGCCCTGGCAGAATAACGGCAATTTGCATTCCTGCCTGCAACAGCGCTTGCCCTTTGCCACAGGGAAAGGGATAAACGGGATGCGTGCTTCAGCCACCCACCCGTAACCCCATTACGGGGGTTTTGGTCACACCTCTCCCACCTCCTCGGCTGTCCTGCTTCCCGGCACGGAGGAAACCCGCGCTGGTGGATGGGGTATGGGGCGGCTTCTGGCACCAAACCACCTGGAAGCTCCGTGAAGACCAAAGCAGCCAAGCCACCCTTTGCACAACCGTTCTACATCATTTGCACTGACAGCCGTGGGGCGAAAGGAAGACAGGGCAGGAGGTGGGACAGCCCCTCCTCGCTCCTCTATTGCTTAATTACCCTAAAAAACGGATCCTGCTAATGCCGAAGCCGTAAGCAAGTGCAGTGCCAGCCCCCCCAGCAGCCGCGCAGGCAGGGAAGGGGCCTGGATTAAAGCTTGGCTATTTGCAGCTCCGCTCCGAAAAGCCTGGCGTGGGGAGCCAGGAAGCTGGAGAGAAAAAAACAATTTGTAATTACGCGCTGGGAAAATTGAACAGCAGGAAGCAGACAGTTAACATCATTCTACACAAGACAAACAGGAGATGTACAGAAATACACATCCAATTTTTTTTAGAGGTCACTCAGAGTGCTTTTAGAGGAGCTTAATTGTGTACCTAATGAACTAGGAGGCAGCAGCCTCGATTACCTGTACCAGCACAGCCCTGACGTTTGCTTTTGTACTCAGGCACCTGCAGGCGAGCAAACAACTGCCCCAGCGCTCTCAAAACACGCCGGCTGCAATTCAGCCGCCCCACCAGCCGGCCTCCCTCCGCTCCCCTGCCAGCGATGGGATGGACGGGCTGCTCACCCGGCTGGGAGCAGAGCAGATTAAACCTCATTAAGAGAATGATTTGGTCTATTTAGGAAATGTTCCCGGTGGCAGGTGACAGCGGAGTGACGGGGAGCTGAAGGCTGGATGCAATGAGGCTCTGTGGGGATGGCCATTACCACCGCAGGGGGATGCAGGAGGGACACGGCGATACCCAAACCATGGTAGAAGCAACCCACAAGCCCGGCATCACCCGTCGCACCCACACAACCTCCATCCTGCCCGCGGCACCAAGCACCGGCCCCCAGCACCCCGTGCAGCCGGGGATGTACGGAGCACGGCGCTGGGGTGGGAAAGCGCCGTTTGCTCCTGGTCCGGGCATGGCAGCACTTCCACCGGTTTCCCTTCTTTAGGTGGCAGCCGACAGCTCCCGCAGCCAACGACTTTCCCTCCCGCTCCCTCCTCGACCACACAGTCAGCAGTGAAACCACCGGTGGGTGATGTCCTGGCGTGACGGGCATCGCCCCGGTCACGGGAACTCCACATCGAACGTATTTGGGGGTGTGTGGGAACGCTGCCCAAGTCCCTGATTTAGCTCCGGTATCCAGGGCAGCCTACGGCTGCAACAAGATTTATATTTCTTGGCTTGCAGCGAGGAGGCTGGGATGGGAAAAGCACCCTGGGTTTCCCTGAGGTTCAGCAAGGGTGAAGTGCCCCCATCCCACCCCAGCCGAGGGTACCAGCCTGGGGTCACTGTCCCCTCCCACCCGCTTCAGAAGTAGGAGATTTTGCAACCGCAGTAATCCGGAACACAACCAGACTTAACCCTTCACAGAGGGGAAACGGCAGCAGACGGACAACCTGCTAGAAACCCCTGACAGCCCACAGCTGCGCTCAGTTCAGCTTTTCCCCCTCTGTTACCTCCCGTTTCCCTTCCAAGGGAGGGCTCCTTGGAGACCAAAGTCTTCGTTATTCCAGATGCACTACCTGCTCGCTCTCACCGGAGCAGAGAGCTCTGGCACCGAGGCAGCAGCTGAGCCCAGCAGCCTGGGCACCGCAGCGGGCAGTAACCGGATCCCCGAGTTACACAAGTGTCCCCGGGACAAGGGCAGCGCTGCAGAGGGGGCTCAGCCACCCCCTCCGATCAAAACTGGGTCTCAGGCACAGAGGAGTTGACGTGCGTTTCCCTTTACGGTGGTTGCAGCCAGCACAGGTCTCCGAACCTCCTCTCGTCGTCAGAGAGCAATTCCGCGGCCAGGTATCCCTTCGGCACTACACGGGACAGGGGACAACCAGGAATGCTGTGCCACCCCAGGGCCCTGCACCGTCCCATCTCCGCTTCCCACTGGGACACCTACCCGCAGGAAAGGAGGGAGAGCAGGGAAAAGGGCCGCTCCACCCTCATCGCAATTAGAGAGGAAACTCAGATTTCAGCCGCGTTTCAGCCGTATTTCAGCTCTCCTTGCAGCAGCTTGACACCTCCGAGATTTTGGCAGACGGCACTTGCTGCCATCCTGTGCCTTGGCTCAGCCCAGATCCCCCAGGAGCCATCACACGCTGCGAGAGAAATTAGTTACGTGCAAAGCTAAACACACTCATTAGCTTCACTAAAACCCTCAAGCTGAGGGCTCCGAAACCGGCCCCGTCAGTGGACGGCACAGCCCAGCCCCTACGTGCTCGGGACCCCCCCAGCAGCAAAGGCTCTTCCCGGGCTCCTGCAGCAGCTCTAAGCTTTTCACCACCTTTGAAAGACAAGCCCTGGAAGCAGCTCCTGAAAACAAAACAGCTCATCGGGGCATCTGCAGGTGGGCATCACCCACGCACCTAACCCAAACCCTGGCAAGCTGCCTTTGCGGTGCAAGAAACAGGGCTGCAAACCGAGCGGGCTCCAGCCAGCCCTGCCGCTCTACTGGGTCATCGAAAATGAGCTCAAATGAAGGAAGATACTGGAGAAAACAAGGGGGCTGGAGCCACCCACGCTCACGTTCCCTCAAGCACCACTGGTTCAGCCTCGCCTCCTCCTCCCGGGATGGCGTGCCATGAATCACAGCAGGTCCGTAAAGGGAGCTCCCTCCTCCACCGGCACGGCAGGACACCCCAAATGACCCCATCCCACTGCTACTCGCCGTGGGTGCCACCGCAGCCCCAAACGGTTGCTGCCCCTTGGTGAGCCATGAGAACAGACCGCGATCGCTCAGATTGGCAAGACATCCCTGTCCAAGAGCTTGCAAGGGAAAACTCACCTCCCACGGGCAATTTCCATGAAAACTGAGGATCAGGCACATACCAAGCTGTTCATTTTCCAGGGCTGCCCCTCTTTGCTCTGGCTCCACGCTCACCCCAGGCGCTCCAGCTGCTCTTGCAGGCAGGGTATTTTTATTTCCACATGTATTTTGATCAGATCCAATTCACCTCGGTTCCCAGCACAGCAGCACACGCTGCATGCCTTGCCTGTGCAGCAACCACCCCTCGGATGACCGCCTGCAACGGGACCCACAGGAGCGTGCCCATGCCCCACGCCACCCCGAGGAGCTCCCCTCGGGACCCGTCTGCACCACGGGGGTTAAAATAAACTCCTCTTAAGTTGCAATAAAAATAGAGCTACAGTGAAGAAAGGCAGGCTATCATCCTCCCAAGTTATCAGCAGGGAAGCAAAGCAGAGGTTCCCCTGCCTGTATTGCACACCCGGGCTCCGGGTTCGCCTGGCCGGGCTAGCACAGGGCAAGGAGCATTTTTTCCTAATAAAGCAAAAAGGTATCTCTTCAAAAGATTTGCCTCTTCTAATCTTTCCATGCGAACTGGTTGCCAACTGGCATCGGCTGCTTAGCACATTTGTCGAGCCGGTGCTGGATGCTTTGCACATGCTGTTCCCACCTCGCAGCGTCAGGAAGGCAAAGCCCCCTCACCCC